AACTGGTTTCCCCTCCAATTATGACTTCCCCACCTCAAAAGAGGGTCAGGTGGTCCTTTCTCAATCGGGACGGAAGAAGCAGAGTGGCAGGATGGAGAGGGAACGAGGACGTGAGGCAAGTGCTGCAATTTGTGGAAATAAAAGGGAATTCCTGATATAGCATTGGCCGTGAACATCGAGTGGGCCTGGACTGGGAAGCTGCTCACGGCTTGACTGTCAGTTTGGATGCGACAGTTTGCCTCTCTGCGGTAACTACATTTGGTTCATTACTTGTAATATAAATGTAATCTGAGCACTTCTCATTGGACCAACTGAATCGGTCATTCCTCTCAGTCAGCTGCTTTGGCGAGACTTCTTCCAGAAAGCTCTCCGTCTCCTCCTGCTTCTCTGTCCACTAGGTGATGACAGAGGGTTTATGGCTGCTGAGAAACTCACTCGCAGTCTAAGAGCATAATAAATCTGAAAGGCTGATTTAAGACAGACAACTTTATCATATGAAATCTGTTGATTTCATCAGTTTTATCCAGTAAAAGAACGACTCGTCTGTGGCAGAGATCAGGAGAATAAAGACGTCTGACAGATGAATCTTTACCTCATCTGTTTGTCTTTTACTGCGTTTGCTGTGTAGGCTGAAGATATAACTTTAGGCTGGATATGCTGCATCCACATGTACACACAGGTGTATCAGCACATGTATAACTAAGAGGGATCCAACCTCAGAGCTTAAGCTGATCATTACAGAAGTGATGAGAGTCGCTCGTGTAGGCTGCGGTTGCACTAGGTTGCAATTTTCATTTCATTCTTTCTCTGCAAGGAGTCAGAAGACGAGATGTAGATTTATTTTCCCTCCTCTGTTCCTGGATTTATGTTATTTATAAATGTGCACGGCTTCCTTTCTGTTACACATTGAGAACGTTTCAAAAACGACTTGTACATGAAAGCGTCGCGCCGTCGCCCATGTTTGCTGAGGCAGGTGTGAGATAATCACATGATTCGTAGGGGTGGGGAAAAATGGATACTGTGTAGCATGGTGATATTTTGTTTGCTAATAATGTATGGATACAGGGACAGCAGAAATCGATACTTTGTTACAAAAAGGTTTTTGTGCTCTGACTTCAGAGCATGTTGATCCTTTTTCTGAGCAAG